GTGGAACCCCACCGAGTCTGACACGGGCCGGTACTAGCTCAGCGCGCGCCCCTGGGCCTGCACTGACGTTCACGGGCCCACGCTAAGCTCAACAACAGGATTGTACGGGCGCATGCCAAGCTCTTGCAGGCCCTCATGGGGCCTGACGGGCGCCTACGGTCCCGCCCTGAGCTCCACCGGCCTGCGTGAGTAGGTGCTGAGCTTTGACACATCCCTGCCTAGACTCTACGGGCTTGTACGGCCCGAAATGAGCTCTTCGGGTTTGTGCCGAGCTTGCACGGCTCTAGGGGCTTATATGGGCCCATGTTGGCCTCCATGGGCTTGTACAGGCCTGCACCGAGCTCTATGAGCTTACTCGGGCCCTTGCCGAGCTCATACATGCCCCGTGCCAGCCTCTGTGGGCTCATATTGGCCCACAACAAGCTCTGTGGCCTTGTCTTGAGCTCCACTGGCCTCTGTGGGCTCATAGGGACCTGCACCAAGTCCTATGGGCCCGTACAGGTTCGTGCCGAGCTCGTACAGGCCTGTGCAAGACGCTATGGGCTCGTATGTGCCTGTGCCAAACTCGTACGGGCCTGTGCCAGGCCCTAGGGGCTTGTACGGTCCCGCCACGGCCTCTATGGGCTCCCACAGGCCCACACCGAGCTTTATGGGCTTGTACTGGCCCACGCTGAGCTCGTACGGACCCAGGTCAGCATCTCTGGGGCCAGCCTCTACCGGCCCTCAATGCGCTCTGCGGGCGCCAGCCTCTACGGGCCCTCAATGAGCTCTGCGGGCTTGTGCAGGCCCATGACAAGCTCCTATGGGCCTGCACCAGCCTCTACAGGCTCATACGGCCCCGAACCAGCTTCTACAGGCCAGTGCGGATCCTTGCCAAGCTCTTACGGGCCTGTGCCAGCCTCCGTGGGCTCGTATCGGCCCACACAGGGCTTGTACAGTCCCGCGCTGGCCTCTACGGCCTTGTACAGGCCCTTGCCGGGCCCGTGTCTGGCCCTAGGGGCTTGGTTCGGTCCCCCC